GAGGAGGATAGAGGCAGGGGAGAGGGGGGTCTACGAGGCTGCCGCAGCCTGCAGGTCGTCGTTCCCTGATTCATGGTTCGGCCGGTCGGCGCGGACCCTTGGCACCCCCTCCCCCACCCCCACAGTGGAGTAGATCTTGGCTGTTTCGGGCGCCTGTTTCAAGCAGGTGGAGTCTCCACCATGGGACGAGCTGCCGCAAACAGTCGCGCTAAGCAGACGTCCGGAGCCAGACCCCCCCCTCCCCCCCCCTTCCGCCCGATGTCGAAATGCCGAATATGAAAACGGCCACGAGCAGGGCGGAAGAATCTCACGCTGTGTCAAGCGTTATTCAACAAGTACCTCCCCAATGCCGCACCGTCCGACGGCCCGTTCTGCCCCCCCCCCACGCGCGGTCAAACCACCCCAGGCGCGATGCAAGCACCGCACGCCCCGCGAGCGGCTGCCGCCTTCGTCGCCGTCGTTGTCAGTCGTCGTCGCCGCGTTGTCCGTCGCCGTCGTCGTCGTCGTCGTCGTCGTCGTCGTCGTCGTCGTCGTCGTCGTCGTCGCTGGCGGCCGCTTGTTTCTCCTCTCTGCCGGGACCTCGTGCCCCTGCGTGGGCGCGCGCGGGGCCCACTTCGAATCCCAGAGCCTGCGCGACCCGACCCCTCCCCGCGCCTCCGCGCGGATGCCCGACGACGAGGCGACCGCGCCCCACCGAGCGCCCCCGGCTGCCTCCCGCCGCCCTGCCCCGCGGGAGCACCCCTTCGCCCCGGCCCCCCCCCCGACAGCCTGGCGGCCCCGCAGCGGAGGCCGCAACCCGAACAACCGGCCACGCGCCGGAGTGGCCCCTCGCTGGAGGGACCTCTGGTCTCTGGCGCCCCCTCGGGGGTCTCTCCTGAGATGCGGGGGTGGACAGACCCCTCACCCCGACACGTCGATTAGGGAATCGCCTGTTTTCGGTTCTCGAGGGGGCGCCGCGGCTGTCATTTTCCAGGCTTGCGCCCGCCAGGTTTGGGTCCGAGGTCGTTTTCACTAAACCACGTTTTGCTAAAGGGGGTCCTGTCCATCCCCGAGAGATGCGGGCGTTGGATTTTTGTTCACGCCTGGCGTGCTCGCTCGGTGTCGGGCCCCGGGTCCCTCACTGATGTCAAGCAGCGGCGGAGCGTCCTGGCGTTCCTTGTGGCCTGCCGAACAAGGTTCTGAGAACCTTTTGTGGTTTCCACGCGATGTCCTTAGAACGCTTCTGGCTGGGACTGTGTTGTTTTAACACATTGGTTTCATGTTCTAAGAACATTGTTTTTGTTATTCGAACATTTTGGGGGTCTCAGAAAATTTCGTCCCTGCTCAACTCACAGATGGATGCGGCTCAAAAAAATGGGTCCGGAACTCCGGTCGTGATTTTTCACGATGTCGCTGTTTGTTCGCCACGTCGGATCTCAAGGTTCGGTGCAGCTCTCCTGTCGGGGGCAGCGATAGGGGGGGATGGGCATAGGGGGGGATGCATCGACCCCCAATCGCCCACTGGTCGCCGATAGGGGCCCGATAGCCCCAGCCTGCCCAGGAAGGTGCGGATTCACTATCGGAGGCCTATCGCCGATCTATTGGCGATGTATCGCCGATTCCAGGTCGATGCATCCCCCCCTACCGTCGGTTCATGCGGCGATGGCCCGCCGGCGACTCCGGAGAAGGCGCTCAAGGTTGAATTCTGCGACGCGGAAGCTGACTCCGCGTTGGACCCGATCAAATTCAACCTTGAACGATGGGGGCCGCGATCGACTCAAGGTTGAACGATCGACGCGGTGTCAAAAACCTCTGCGCGCGCCGACGCCGCGCCAGCCTACTGTATGCCAGTCCCCCTCTTCTCGTTGCCTCCCACCCTGGGTTCTCCCCAGCCTTACGTCGGACCTGTCCCTCTACAGGGGGGAAAATCAAGAAGAGTCAAAAAATAGTCGGGGGGACTATTTTTTAGTATTTTTGGGCATTTTTGGTATACGTTTTGCCTACTTCTTGTTCGTCCTCCAAAATCCCCCTGTAGGGAGACACGCCCGACTTAACCCCAGCAACGGCCTGCGCGGCTGGACGGGGTCCCCCGCGCTGCCCCCCCCCCCCCCCCAGCGCCACGCAGCGAGGGCCAGTCTTGCCCCGGGCTGGTCCTGCGCACGGCCGAGGGCAGCTCAGAGCACCCTCTCGGGGCTCATCCCTCGGGGGCGGCAAGGAGGGGGGTGATGACTAGGTGGGGGGTGGATATCATGGCGGGGGCCATGATGTTTCCCCAGATTCCATGGCGCCTCTTCTTATCTCATTACGTCCCTGGCCCCCCCGCTGGGCTGCGCACATGCCGCCAGTCATGATTTGCACCCACCCCTCTTGGACACCCCCCTCTTGGCCGCTCCCGAATTTCGACTTCTCCGATTCGATTCGATTCGAGTTCGACGGCCTCCGATTCCGATTCGATTCGGCTCGGGATTCCGATCTGGGTTCCGATCTCTCACTGGAGGCATACTAGCCTGCCGATGTCCGCCGATTTGACGTTTCCCGACTCGGCTGCCGATTGCCGCCGATCCAAGTCATCTTGATCGCCGATCCGACTCATCGATTCGACTTTGGGCTCTCCGGCCCTCTCCTCCCTCTCTTCCTCCTCTTCCTCCTCCTCCTCCTCCTCCTCCTCCTCCTCCTCCTCCTCCTCCTCGTGCGACCCCTCGAGGATGACCCTCTGCAGGGCCGAGCGGTCGGCGTCCCGGCGGCGCCCGGCGACCTCGTGCTCTGGGACTCGCGCCTGGTGCACGCCAGCGAGCCAGCTCCCGGGCGCGAAGGCGGCGGGGCGCGGCTTGGGCTGGGACTTCCTCCTCCTCCTCTCCTCCTCCTCCTCCTCCTCTCTCCTCCTCCTGCTCCCTCCTCCTCCCCTCTCCTCCTCCTCCCCTCCTCCTCCTCCTCCTCCGCTCCCCTCCTCCTCCTCCTCCTCCTCCTCCTCCTCCTCCTCCTCCTCCTCCTGCTCCCCCCCTCCTCACTCCTCCTCCTCCTCCTCCTGCTCCCCCTCCTCCTCCTCCTCCTGCTTCCCCCTCCCTCCTCCTCCTCCTCCTCCTCCTCCCTCCTCCTCCTCCTGCTCCCCCTCCTCCTCCTCCTCCTCCTCCTCCTCCTCCTCCTCCTTCTCCTCCTCCTCCTCCTGCTTCCCCTCCTCCTCCTCCTCCTCCTCCTCCTCCTCCTCCTCCTCCTCCTCCTCCTTCCCCGAGGGTGGGGGCCTGGCACCTGTTCTCATGGTGCCAGCGCAACACACTCCTCGGGGCACACTCTCAGTGTCAATTGCATGCGGCGGCGAGGGGCAGATAAGCCGGCTTTCGTCGTTCTTGCACCAGCCACGTGGCACTTTGCCCGTGGTAGCGGCGCGTTAGCTGCGCCCGTGACCTGGAGATGGGTACCAGGCACGGGGAGTGTGCATTTGATTGAGAGGCGGGGCCATGTGGTCCGTAAGTCCCTTGGGACCTTGTGTCCGCTCACCATGGGGTACGAACCCAGTTGCACATGCCATCCGATTCGGCAGGGGTGACGGTCGGGAAGTACTGCGCGGTGACGCGGTGAACCGGCTGTCCCCCTACGCACCACGCCGTCTCGGTTGGGCAGCGAGTCGCTGAGCGACGAGGTATCTGCCTTTCCCCTGACCGTCGGTGCTGGCGCCTGCGGGCCCCTTCCTCCTGTCTGCGAGGCCGAGGGTGACGGTTGAGCCTCGCTCGCCGTTCACTTCTTGGATCTGTGACACTCATGACACTCCTCCTCCTCCTCCTCCTCCTTCTCCTCATTCCTCCTCCTCCTCCTCCTCCTCCCTCCTCCCTTCCTCCCCCTTCCCCTCCTCTCCTCCTCCTCCTCCTCCTCCTCCTCCTCCTCCTCCTCCTCCCCCTCCTCCTCCTCCTCCTCCGCCTCCTCCTCCTCCTTCTCCTCCTCCTCCTCCTGCTCCTCCTCCTGCTCCTCCTGCTCCTCCTCCTCCTCCTCCTTCTCCTCCTCCTTCCTCTCCTCCTCCTCCTCCTCCTCCTCCTCCTCCTCATCATCATCAGCATCATCCTCTCATCCTCCTCCCTCTCCTCTGGGTCCTCTAGGTCCTTGGCGCACCCGATCCTGCGAATGCAACACCTGGAACAAAAAGGGGGGTAATACATAGGATCCGACACCTTCCAGGGATCACTCGCGTTTGAACGGGACCGGCCTGCCAAACTCCGTACCCGACGAGGGGTCGATCCCGCTCTTCAGGAGACTCAGGGCGTGGCAGGCAGCCTTGCTCTTGGGGCAATGATTACAGGGGCTGGCCAGGAGGACCACTTTGGTTGTGCCGAACGCCCCACAGACACTGCACCATACTCGACCTCCCCCACCACTCCAAATTCTACGGGAGGGGTGCGCCAATCGAACAGGCCTGGGGAAACCAGTGCACGGAAATGCAGCCACTGCGCCTCTCGACCGTATGTTCGAATTCCTCAAGCGGCTCTCTTGCCCACTCGCACTAAGTCGTGGCCGTTCGCTTCAGCCACCAACCCGAGTTCAGCTGGTGCCTTCAGACTCTTGGCTCGGAATTTGTCAGCATCATTGTAATTCAACATGGATAGAGTTCCCCCGACTCCCGCGATCAAAGCAGTACGGCCTCGAACTTGGAAATCAAGGGCTCGGAGTTCGTTAAGGACACTGGGGGCCCTACTGTGCATCCTGGCGCCTAGCTTGGCAAGTCTGTCTGCCTCACGATTGCATCTCCATGCCCACCAAGCACAGCCCTGGGCGGAAGTTTTGGCCCAAGTCTGGTGGCTACGAAATTTCTCCACTGTGATCGGCGCAGTAATAGCTTCGCACTGTTTTAAAAATCGCGCCACAACCTGGCATACGCAATCTTGTTCTGAGACTGATGGGGCCCAGCCTCCCAAATGTCACTTACCATCTTGCAGTCACAGACTACGTGGACGGGTTGCACCCACACGCTTTTGATAAGCATCAGGAGAGCATAAGCTTCGGCGCACCCCGCTTGCTGGACAGGGTGGGGTAGGGGACCGTGCAGGGCGCCGTCCAAGCCCCCGTGGCGGTCCACTTGGACAACACCCCAACCAGCTCTTTCCAGCGATATGTCCCCAGGGGAATAGGCGGATCCATCGATGGCGACGTTTCCACTGAAGACCCCATGCAAGGGTAAGACGCTCCAAACTTGAGACTGGTCCATACGGGGGGGAGGGGCCTCAAACGCCAGGCTGGGGACAAGACATTTGGTGGTATCGATATCGTATGGCGCAGCCTTTTCGACATCGGCGATTGCCTCTGGCACGTCCAGTTCACGACGAGCCCCCCCAGTCGCTGGGCAGCCCACAATCCTGTGCTGGGGCGTGCCTATGTCGCCGCACAGCTTGCACTTCGGCCAAACCGTGCGACGATCCATGAACAAAATGCTCTGCGTCGGGAGGCCTCCAGAAGCACATCCCGCCAGGTAGGCCGCTTCAGCCACCTGGCCTCGTCCTCTGTGCAGCCTCAAGACGTCCACAATAGGTTCCAATCTGGGGGTTCCCTGCAAGACGCTACCATGGAAGTTGGTACCATCGAGGCTCTTGATCAAGGCCTTCTTGGAGCCCACGTTAACCAGGGTCTTCCGCGACTTCTTACCCGGATCGCCGAAATCAGAAAGAGTGCCGCCGTGGTCTCTCCGCACTATGGGGTGCTGGCCAGTCCACCCAAGGCGCCCAAGGGTACACCAAACCGCTCCTCCAGGGCCCCGGACACGATTCCAATCATCCACAGGACCCTGCTGGGCCTGCTCGAAGATGTTCTTCAGAAGACTCCTGGACAACCAACACTCGCGCCAAGCCTGCACCCAGGACTGTAGGGGGAGGATGTTGGCCTGGTAGGTCGGGTCCAAGGTGGGGTCGGCGCACAGCAAAAACTAGAGCGTTCTTGATCGCCCTCTGGCGACGCCGAAAGCACTGCGCGCGATGCCCGCGCGGATCTGCCAGAGCCTCTTGCCGGAGACTCCGTGCACCATTGCGCCGTACATGCCTGCAGGGAGACCTCCAGTCTTCAGGATCCGCTTGGCTCCTACTGCTGCAGGTCGAAGGGCTCGAAAACGGTGTGCTCGAGGTTGCAACTTCGAAATCCTCCCAAAGTGTACCTTGGCGCCCAGACGCCCCCTGACCCGAAAGTCCACTCCGAGGTTCTTGGTAGACACGCTATGCCTAAACTTCCAGCGATACAACTTCGGTGCGATATCCTTCGAGGTCCAACCTTGGGAGGCTACCACCACGCCCTTGGTCCTGGACACGATGAGGCACATACGCTCGAGCTGCTGGCACAAGAAGAAACTGGCGAGGCCAAGCCCCGTGGCAACCGCTTTGGCCTGACCAGCCATGCAAAGCGTGATGTCGTCCACCACGTTCAAGATGCGCACAAACTTGAAAGCATCCGCCGTCATGTCGAGGGTATCGAGGAGGAAGACTTTGAGGAGAGTAGTAGCAAAGGTGCATCCAGCCAGAATAGCCTGAATAGCACACACACACACACCCTGCGAACACATCTTTCCCAAGTAACATGCCGACTCCCCCGATAGACGGTGAGGAGGAATCTGAGGATGAAAGCGTTGAAGTTGTGTTTGGTGGCCGCCCTCACGAGGAGTATGCGGGCGACTTTCTCGTAGGCTTTGGTGAGGTCGAGGAGGTAGGAGGAGAAGGCGATGCCCGTGTTCTGAGCAAACTCTCCTAAGGCTGACTGCTTCCAAACAGCTCGCTCACATGAGCGCCCTGCGCTCCTGCCGCATGGGTTTTACAAGCCAACTTGCGGGTGGGTGGGTGGGATGATTGCGCAAGCAGCGGAGCTGACAACGCACTAGTGAGCATTCCTTCGTTGAGTGCACCACGTAGACTGCACAACGCCGATTCCGCCACATAGAAATGTTGGAAGCACGCAGCTTGAGGCCCACGTTGGCTAACATCTGCTGTTCGTGTTCTTGTTTGTTTTGGCATGTAGATGGGAGCTCGGGGCGTCCCTTGAGGGCCTGTTCTGGTGGCCTTCGCAGGGACCTCAGGGGAGGGCCCAAGCTTTCTGGAGGATCTCTCTCCGGGCCTCCGGGAGGCTTCTCGTTGCCACGGCCGGGTTCCTCGAGATTTTTCAGGCCCGACGCACGCCCCAGGAGAGGTCCGAGGGTCATGTGGAGGAGGAGGAGGAGGAGGAGGAGGAGGAGGAGGAGGAGGAGGAGGAGGAGGAGGAAGAGGAGGAGGAGGAGGAGGAGGAGGAGGAGGAGGAGAGGGAGGAGGAGGAGGAGGAGGCCAAGACGATCGTTAGCGCTGGAGGATGTTCGCCGATTTCGGCGGGTCCCGGGGCCGAGAGCTCTGGAGGCTGGCGACTAGAACAAATTCTGCCATACGGTTGCTCCCGAGTTTAAGCCTCTTGGGGCTGCATCCAGGCCCCACGGCCGTCCACAAATGCAACTCGGAATGAGAAGCCTGCCCTCGACGGAGAGGCCAAACACGTCAGGAAACGGCGACCAGACCAGATCGCGCCGCAGGGCCCGAGCGCACGACTGGGGACGAGAAGTCAGTCCATGCCGGAGTGGTCGAAAGCCCGGTGACCCCTGAGCAGTCGAGTCGTCGGGGGTCAGGGGAGGCGACGTGCGCGACCCGGACCAGGGGCGCGAGCAGGTGCCGCTGGAGCTCCTCCGGGCGGCGGTGCCGGTGTGCATGCTGCCGCGGAGCTGCGCCGCCGAGGATGGCGGGCTGCCCGCCTGGCGCCGCGACGCGCTTCGCCAGGGGGTCACCACGAAGCACTGGCCGAACCGGAGGCGCACCCAGGGCGCGGCTGCCGGGCCTGGCTATGTCGCCCCCGAGCTGTCCGACGTCATGGCGGGCCTGCTGTGAGCAGCACTGGCGCAGCGCCGCTCCTGGAGTCGTTTCGGGGGTCTGAGGTGGCCCAGCACTGGCTCCGGCCAGCAGGCAGGAGGGGTGAGGGCCCCCCTCGGCGTTGACCTTTTTGGACCTCCTTGGGGCTTCTCGTCGCCAGGGCTGGATACGGCTCGAAAAACCACAGGCAGGAGGGGTGAGGGCCCCCCTCGGCATTGACCTTTCTGGACCTCCTCGGGGCTTCTCGTCGCCAGGGCTGGACACGGCTCGGGAAACCAGGACGTTTGGACCCCACGAGGGACCCGCCGGCCGCCTCAGACCCGTCGCTGCGATGGTCGTCCATGTCCTCCTCCTCCTCCTCCTCCTCCTCCTGCTCCTCCTCCTCCTCGTCCTCCTCCTCCTCCTCCTCCTGCTCCTCCTCCTCCTTGGCCTCCCGTCCATGGTCGTCGTGCGTCGTCGCGATGTCTAGCATGGCACCTGCGCGACGCAGAAAAGCGGGGTCGTCGTCGCCGACGTTCGCGCGCGCAAGCCGCCCGCGTAAGGTCGCGTGTGGGCGCTCTCGTTTCCAATCAAGCGTGCGGCGTTGGCGGCCCGCGCAAGCGGCGGCGTACGGTCGCTATGCCATCTCGCGCAGGCCCGCTACCTATCGTCGCTCACATGGCAGGCAACATTCAGGATGGGAAAAAACATACACAATTAATCGACGATCCCGCGGAAAATATGGGAGTATATGGGAAGTGGGGGGGAGGACGAAAACCCAGAACATATAGACAAATACGGGGAATCTTGGTATTTGTGTGTGTGTTTATGCGTGTGCCCTTGGGCCCCACTCAAGCATTTGCTGTTAAAAGCCCAGTGCGCGACGCCCGAGAGAGACATAGAGAGAGAGAGAGAGAAAGAGTTAGAGTGCCGTCGCGCCGGAGCCGCCGCGTGGCCGAACGAGCAAATGACATAGCTCGAACGTGAGTTTGACCGAATGTTTTTTGGTAGGGCCACATGCGATCCCTACCCCTACCCCCTACGACCCTCCCCCTCAGAAATCGTGGGAGGTAGGGGTAGGGTTCGCATGTGGCCCCCTAACTGTATCTGATGGAAGTCCCGGAGAGGCTTGTCCAAGGGGTGGTTCGGGGATCCCCGTTGTGTTGTCCACGGGGTTGTCCGTGGGCAGGTCGTCTTGTCGTCACGGCATCAGCAGCGGAAGGGTTGGCCAGGCTGTTCTTGCGGGTTTTCCGCGGACTTTTTGATTGGATTCTTTTCCCACTGCACGTAGTAGGTGTGAATTTGCATGAAGGGTTTCGTCCTCTGCTGGCGGCCCCTCCAGCGAGTATGGTCACGCGTGGTTGGTACGCCAGTTGCTTTTCTTGTCGGTTGGCTGGCTCGTAATTCGGCGGATATGGCTTGTTGTGAACATTGAAGCCCTGACAATTGATCTGGGTTGTTTGCTGGCTGGCTGCTTGCGCCGTTTTTCTCTTTATCAGTTTGCAAGGAGAGAAGATGGCCTCGGGAGCGTACTTCCGTTGTAATTTACGATGGTTCGAGACTTCGGTGGCGCACGCCCCCAGCTCTTTACCAGGATTTGTTGCTCGAAGCCCCGAGCCGCTTTCTCAAGAAACGATATAGGGAGGTGTGGGGTGTGGGCGAAAAGCGCCCTCCGCACACCCATCTCAGTACATAACATATCGGCTGTTCCTGCCTTGGGGAGGGGGTTGCCGCATCCATGGGATGGGCTCATGGCCTCGGGAATGTGTTTTGTTGTTTCCAAGGGCTTGTGGCCTCGAGGACGCAAGAGCGCTTATCGAAAAGGAGCTGTGGCCTCGGGAGCCCCAACGCATTGTAATTTGCAGGGGCTTCACAATTGACCCTGGCCTCGGGGGCGCGAATCTTGCGTCACGTGCGAGGGATTGTGGCTTGGGGACTGCGACCCTGCTGTGATTCCGGGGACTGTTTCGGGGGCGCCAGCGCGCAGTAATCTGCACGGGCTTGTCGCTCCGGGGACGCGGACTCGTGGCAGCCTACAGAGCAGCTCTGGGTTCGGGAGTACTCGCCCGGTGTGATATCAGTCAGGGCTTGCGGCGTGGGGAGCGCGAGCCGGGCGCCATTCAGAAGGGGTTGTGGCCTCGGGAGCGCGAAGCTAGCATACGTTGCCAAGTGCTGCGGCTTGGGAAGCGCGAAAGTCGTGCAGTCGGAAAGGAGCTGTGGCCTCGGGAGCGCCAGCGCATTGTAACTTGCAGGGGCTTGTGGCTTCGGGGGCGCAAGGCGCAAGCCTGGTGTGATTTACTCAGGGCTGTGGCTTCGGGTGCGCAGATTTGGCGTGATTTGCAAAAAGGGTTGTGACCTCGGGGGCGCGGGTCTGCTGTATTTTTATGCATCCCAGGGCACCCTCAGGAATTCAGAGTTGTGATTTCTGGGTTGGAGCAGATGTTTTACGGCTTCCCCCTTCGCGCCTTTTTCAATCGTTGCAACAGTAGAGCTAGAACAGAAATCTATGCGCACAATTTGTGAGTGGAGCTGTTGCAGGGCACAGGACAGCCTAGGCCACGCAGCCTGTTGCCCCTAAGGAGGCTCGCGGATTTTGAACAAGAGCCCTTGGTTGATGGTGGCGTCATACGATGTCAACAAGCGGTGCCGCTGGGTGGCCCACCTAGACGCCGTGTGCTGGCCATTGCGTGAGAATCGCTGGCGGGACTGCCGACGGGCTGCGGCCATGATCCAGCTTCCGCCCTACTCGATCCCATCCGCTCAGTTTTTTGGCACCGCCGAGCCCGCTCCGTGCTGCACTCGCAGCCTGCCCGCGCCCTTCTCCTCCTCGCCGCCCCTCGCTCGACACCCCCCTGTCTGCCCCTTATGGGGCTGCCGCCACCCCTCGCACGCCGCGCCTGCGCGAGGCGACGTCGCGCTCTGGCGCGTGAGAGTCGCTGGCCCTTTGCCCCTCCCGTGGATCGCGGCGCCCCTCCCCCCTTCGGCAGCTCGGGCCTGCCGCGCAGCGTGCGGCACGGTGCTCTCCAAGGCCGGCGGCCGCCTGCGCACGCCTCGTGGAGAAGATGCTCTACGCCTGAGGCCTCCTGCCGGGTCCCCCCCGACTCCGCGGCCGCGCCCTCCCTTGCCCCTCTCCAGTCGAGCATCTGATGAAGACATCTCCTCCTCCTCCTCCTCCTGCCGAACAGCTGGGCCAGCGTTTCGTGGCCAACTTGCCGGAAAGCTGGAACAGTTTCTTGGGCACGTTCGCCCCTCGAGCGATGACACCCGCAATGGGCTTGTTTTAAGAACCTTCCGGGAGGCTGCCCCACGTTCTCAAACGAAGATGTACTTGATCATATGTTCGGCTATAGTCGTATTCTTGTACCCCTAGTTCCAGCGCGGCGAGTCGACTAGCCGAACGCGTTGTCCGCCCTCGCTGCTGACGAGCAAAGTGAATCGCCATTCCATGCCGGCATCCCGCTCGCATTCGGCACTTCATTCTGGTGGTAGCGCCGGGGTTGCCAGGCCGATTGGGCGGGCTGCCAATCGGGCTCGGGGGTGGGAGTGGCGGGCGTATTTCAAACCTATTTGGTCGGGGGGGCAGAGGAGGCGTTCCCACCCCCATTGTTGACCCTGGGCATGGGTTCCAACGCGCACGCGAAGTCCACAATGCCGGGTAGAGCAATATCGTTTTCCGCCAGAAGATTTGATCTTCTCAGGCACCCGTCTGAATAGGAGTGGTGGGGGGAGGGGGGGAAGTATTTTAGATTCATTCGGCCAAGAAGGGGGAGCGGACTGCCGCTATGTCATCTTTCCGGCGAGGGGGAACGGGGGGGGCGCGCTCGCAATCTAACGGTTGCGTCGTTTCTTTCCCTATGCAGTCGACGCCGTTCGCAACCGCATGGTCGTTTGGCAAGCGCCGCTCAGGCGCTCGATGCGCAGCGCGCCCCTGTGCTTGGCATGGCCCCACGTGTGCAGCCATGTAACGAAGCGAGGGAGAAGCACGGGCTTCTACTTGCGTGTGCGCCAGTGGGTCTGCACCGAGGACCACGAACCACCACGAGCCACGACCGGAAGCAACGACCCGCGGCCCGAGAGGCCACGGCCCAACACCAGAGACCACGACCAGAGACCACGAGCCACGGCCAGAGGCCACCAGCCACGACCAGAGACAACGAGCCGCCGACTACATATGGATCGCACGGACCGCCCGCCAGCTTCAGAACAAGTGCTGGGATCCTGCGAGCATCATCGGGGCAGGCTGGAGTCCTTCCCAATAGTCGCAGGCGCGAGAGAAACTGCAGCAACTGATTAATCATTATCGAAGACGCCTACGGCGAATCACCGCCGCCCCCTGCCTTTTTGGAAGCGCCTATGTGGCCGAGGGTTGTGGCCAGAGGCCTGCCATGCTATCGGACCACGTGTTCCCCGAATCGGTTTGGAAAGCCTTCGGGGAACACTTGGGCATCTTGAAGGTCATCTTGGCCGTCTGGAGGCCATTCTGACCCTTTCGGGCCTTCCTGGAGGACGCCTTGGAGGGCTCTTGGGCAGTCGTGGAGGCTATCTTGAGCGTCTTGGAGACCTCTTGGGCCGTCTTGGGGGCCTCTTGGGGCCGTGTCTTGGGCCTCTTGGGCGATCTTTGTGGGCACTTGGGCCGTCTCGGGCCGTCGGAAGGCAGAAAAAAAGCAAATGCCACAATCCTTCAAGAACCCATGGCAAATCAATGATTTTTGCCTTTTCGGGCCTTCCTGGAGGCCCTCTTGGAGGCCTCTTGGGCCGTCTTGAGCCATCTTAGGGCCATGTTCGGCCGTCTTGGTGGGCCCCTGGTCCGTCTGACGCCGTCGGAAGCCGTTTGGGGGGCCTCTATGGGCCGACTTGGGGCCCTCTTGGAATGCTCCAGGGCCGTCTTGGAGGCCATCTTGGGCGTCTTAAAGGCCTCCTGTGCCGTCTCGGGGGCCGTCTTGGGGCCCTCTTGGGCCGTTCTGGGGCCATCTTGGAGGCCTCTTGGGCGATCTTTCGGCGATCTTTGGGGGCTCGTGGGCTGTCTCGGGCCGTCGGAA